AGAATATTTGATAGAAGTGCAAAAGTACTTTTAAGTGTTTTACATTACTTATAGAAACAATTTTTGAGATGTTGAGCAAGATTAGTTTCTAAAAAATTGATTCTACTTCGGCGTTTAAAAATAAGTCGAAGGAGAATCAATTCCAAACCCCTCTTATGAGTCAGAAGAGCTGTTGGTGTAGCTTTCGAGCACATAAATTGTACTACAATACTAGTTACTCCGTATCAAAATTGATTAAAATATCATGGAAGTAAAACTAATGATGTTTTTACTTGGTCTTGTTTCAGTTTCAGATCAGACGAAGTAGATTTAAATAGACCAAACCAGATCATGTATCAACAAAGTAGATTAAATCCGATTTGACTTTGACAATTATAAAATACACATTGACTAAATATATACTAGAGCATATCAAACTATACTTACACAAATCAGACCAGATAAAATCAAATTAGACCAAACCACATTCTAATCTGCTTACAGCCAAACTTTAGAGTTTACTTGCAAAAGGGTTCGAGTAGGGGAATTCTAATTAAGCGTTCTAATTGTACACACCTGCTTACACACCAAATGTATTTTATATGCATACAGATAAAATACACTTAGTGTATAAACGAACGTGTAAATCGACGTTTATAAAGAAGCATTTTTCAATTACTAATGACCCATATTATCTCTTAGTTATGATTTATTGAGCTTGTATCTTGACGTACTCCAATACAAAAAATAAGAAAAAACATGATCATCACGTGTATAATATTACTCACATAAAAAACATGTTTAGCATTTTTATTGGTAGCTCTAGGAACGTAGAAGACGTTCTCATTTAAAAAGTAGATAGATTATGAATAATAAAAAAAGATATAAATTATTGAGGATAAAAAGTACGGAGTACTACGTATTAGAATAATGTGATGGAGTGAAAGATAAATTCAAACAAATCCGTTATAATAATGTACTATATTCAAAATTATTGAGATTATGATGAGAAAATTTAGAAATGGAAAAATCATTTTTTTAAGGAATAAAAAGGAAAGTGGAAAAATCTTTGATCACAATGCTTCTTGTGAATAATATTAATATCAAATATAGGGCCCGCTTGGTGACCATGTTTTTCATCTTTTCAAGCTTATCAGCTAATATTTATTATCAAACACGTAATTTTTGGTTTTACGTGCTGAATATGTAATAATGAGAAAAATTATGATTAAAGTTATTTTTCTGACTAAATTGGTTGAAGTTACTATAGAAGTCTATTTTGACTATTTTTCATATAATTTTTCTTTATTTTATTAATAAAATATATTTTACACATAATTATTTCATAAATCAATAGAATCAGTCAATACAATTAATTTAATTAGAACTTCATAAATTTCAGCAAATCACGCCATTCAAAAAGATTTACAAATGGAATCTCAAACATGCTCCGTATTGGACAGAGGGCATTTGATAAGTTGTGCGGAAACAGGTGGGATACGGGCGGGAGGTTACGTGCCAAAGGAGGGATGCAATGAATGAATGGGGCATTAAAAAAAGTGGTTTAAATGGTGTGAAGGAACTAACAACCCTCCCTGGTGCAGGGCATGGCATGGGTACGGTCTCCCTACCTACCTAACAATTATATCTTCGGATTAGACGTGACCCAACCGACCCTTTCCCTAAACTAACATTTTCATTTCAGCCATACCATACCTCCATTATTAGCCTATCCAATACCAGCCATCCTTTTCTCCTCTTCAATTTTACCCAATTCTATAATTACCACTCTTAGACTAACCGCAACTCAGTCCGTCAATAAATCTAATCTAACATCAGTTTTTTATACGTATCCATTCAGTCAATCCAGTTTTTCCTTGCAACCCAACACCGTCAATATATTCACTCAACACATTTTTTTTAGTTAAATCCTTACTTTTATTATTATACATAATTTTTTAGCAAATTCTATTTTTGCAAATAATTATGATTTAAAATATCAAACATTTCGATGTAAAAATAAATAATTTTGGAGTGAAAGTTTTTAACTATTTTTTTTAATGTTAAAATGTCAAACTAATTTTTTTAACTGTATATATCCATGACTGGTGTCATATGAAAGATCAGAAAAAGTTATAAATTTTGATATATTTTTTGTAAAATTTAGAGTAAAAATTAAAGAGATAAAACAGTTTAAAGAAAATTAAGATTTTAATTTTGTTCGGACCCATCGTCAATTGCTTCCTTGTTTAGGGCATGCCACCGAGCCTTTCCTAGAGTCAATAGAGGTAGCATACATTGACACCATGGGGTTTCCCAATCCACTTTAGCTCTCCCGTATATCTTTTTTACTTGGGTTGGAGCATATTTGAGGGTGAATACTTCACATTTGTGCTTTTCACCCTTTGCAATGCAGGTAGCCTTATGGTCTTATTTACTACGAAGCCTTACCTTCCTGCCAGATTGTTCTTCGAGATTAAGATAGTGAGTGTTGTGTTGATGGAGCGTCGTGCAGAATAGAGAAAAACGTGTACGAAATACTGTGAATCACAAACTTTTTATCAAAAAGAAAAGTGAAAGTTTTATTAGGACGGACGAAAAAAGGAAAGTTAAAAGTTTTTTTCATAGTGATTGTGTTGTTTGACTTTAACATAATTAGTAAGAAAGTGATTGAAATGTAAAATTGTGATTGAAGTTTGAGTATAACAAAGAGCTCGTTTGGTAATATCAAAATCGACCGAATGAGCTGATTTTGCTGAAATTTGTGAAATTCTAACTGAATTGGCTGATATTGCCAATTTATGAAAAATTTGTATTCAAAACATATTTTATTAATAAAATAAAGATAAAAATTATATGTAAAAATTTCTAAAAAAAGGTGTACATTAATTTCAGCCGATACAGTAAAAACGTAACTCTAACTTTACTTTATTATTATTATTACACAATTCAACACGTGAAATTAAAAGTTACGTGTTTGATAAAGAAATTGGTCGAGAAACCTCATAATTATGCCGAAAAGAGGGTTAGTAAACGTCTAAACCGGCTCTATGTCAAGAAAAAGATTGTGCTTTTCGAATGAAGTAAAAATTGAATTCATCTCACGAGATAAAGATTGTGCAATGCCCTGCCAAATTCTTTACGAGAGGTTTGTTCGACAAAATTTGTAATAGAGAAAGTCCATGCTCTCTTTATTCATGAATTGTTGTCAATGAACTTCTCACTTTCCTTTTTTGGATGTCCCATAAATAAGATCTCATTTTCTTAAATGACAAGTTAATCTACATCAAAACAGTGTCAAACAGGGCAAAACAGTGCGAAACAGTGTCAAAACAGTAAAATTCATCCCATGGTAAGTTTATGTCCTTAATACTCCCTCCGATTCACAAACAAGTTCCACATTTGACTTCACAAATATTAAAAAAATAAATTTGACTTTACTATGAAGTGCACTGTTTGGCACTGTTTGGCACTGTTTGAATACTGTTTGACACTGTTTTGATGTAGATAATTTGCCAAATGAGAAAATGTTTGAAAGTTGTACTTAATTTTGAATCTGGCCGAAAAGAAAAGATGGAACTTGTTTCATAAACGGAGGGAGTATGTGTGTTGGTCAAACTGTGAAGTTCATTGTGGGACGGAAGAAATATTTCTTTTTTGAGAGTTTTTTTAGTATATGACTCGTTCTGTTTTTAAAAATTCCTTAAATTCTTTTGGGATTAAGGCTTGAATGTTGTTTGTACTCGTTCTGTTTTTAAAAATTTCTATCTTCTGTATTTCTCTTTCCTATTTTGCAACTCTTCTTCTTTCATACTCCGTACTACATATTTTTTAATCCTTATTCTTTTATCTCATTTTTTGGGATATTCATCTCATTTTTTTGATAGGTTTGATCTCATTTTCTCTAATCTCCTACTCCGTATGAAAATAAACAGTGAAGTAAAAGAGGTGGACTGCATAATACAAAACATAAGTGTCATCATTCAACAGACAATTCAATGCAAGTGTATTTCAGGTTCTGTGACCTCCACCCGATCACTGCGGGGATCGAATCTTGGTCCATTGATCCAAATCTCCCACCACTCGACCAACTAAGCTACTCGTGCCGCCGTGCGGGTAAATTGAACGTAATCCGGTTATTACCAATCTAGTCATTGAATATAAAAAGTCCCATTTCATCCAATATCCAATTTATGCCGTATATAAGTCATTGTCTTCAATAAAATCCTACCTAATACTATTTCCATCCCAAAATAGTATTGTTGATCAATGATGTCAAATTTTAGACAATGATTTTAATTATTATATTTATACTACAGTAGTATATAATTTACAAATTTTATACTTTTATGAAAATATTTTGATTATGGATTATTTTGATATAATTTTCATATATTCTACAAAGTCGATTCGACTAGCATTTCCAGGACGGGGATCAGAGTATTTTTTTTGGGCAAAGCTTCCTAAACTATTACTCCGTATAATATATGTTCTATGTTAAGTCCTATATCCTTGAAGTGAAATGAGATTCAAAGTCGTGACCTCGAGAAAGTTACGTATTTGATACTCCCTCCGTCACTGAAAATACTTCCAACTTTCCTTTTTCGTACGTCCCAAAAAGAACTTACTTTTCCTTTTTTGGCAAAGAATTTGTGGTTCACATCATTTCTCTCTCCTCTGCACAACTTTCCACCACACAATTCTCACTTTCTTAATCCGCGTGCTACTTTATTTTGAAAGTAAATTATGGGACGGAGGTAGTACCACGTATGTAAAACTTTAACAATGAAAAAAACAACACACTCTACGGTCTGCACTCCATTTCTTTTAGTTGCAACACTTTTATTTTTACATTTGCCAACACACAAATCTGATTATTAATACATTTAATTTCAGTCAATAAAAATTACAAAGCTCATGTTTTGTAATATTCAAATTTAACTGCATTCTCCAAAAATTAACTTTTTCTAATAGATTTGCGAATCAGATTTAATTAAAAGATGTGAACGACACAGAAAAAAGACACTTCAAAAAACAAGGCATAGTTCACACGAATCCCTCAAAGAAACGTAGTAAGATTTCCTTAAACTGGGGAAAGAAAAGAACAAGTTTTTCAAGAAAAAGAGTAGATTTTAGATTTGTAATTGGGAGATTTCCCGAAATATGAGTAAATGAAATTTGAAATTCCAAAATATGACTACTTTGTTTTTATTCCCGAAATGGGACTAACATGACAGTATTTACTGAGTATTTACTGTCATCTTGTAGCCGTGACTGCCAAATAGTTGCAGTACAATGCATTTAACATTATTTATTACTCCATGACAATATTTATTACTGAATATTTACTGTCATCTTGTAACCGTGACTGCCAAATAGTTGCAGTATTTACTGTCATCTTGTAGCCATGACAATATTTTTCATACATGACAGTAATAACTTCTATTTCGGAAAGAAAAACATACTAGTTCTATTTTTGGAATTCCAAATGTCATTTGCTCCTATTTTGGGTAATTTCCTTTTGTAATTTGGTTGTAGCTTAAAGTCTTGCCACTTTTCATTCAAGGAAATGGAATTATCATTCACGTTGTCTTTCTTCCATTTACAGGAATTTCAAAACTAGGAAGTTTTGAATGTTTTCGATTTTCCCCCCTCGTGCAATTTGACTAAACCGGCCAATTTGAGATATTGAAGCATATAAAATAGAATATTACTCCAGGTCGGAATGAAGCTTCCTTCGCACTTGAGAAGTCCAGCCATGGTGAAAGGCAGAGAGCGATTGAAGCAAATCACAAATCTCTGAGGTATTTGGAAGGAAAGATTGAATGGAAAGTAGGTAGAGCTTAGGTTTGGTTTGAAGGACCAGCCTTCTTGGCAGCTTCCGCAGCTGCTTTCTCAGCCTCAATCTCAGCCACAATGCCATCAATTTCTGCTTCCTCTAGTTGTCTCAGTCCATGCTCCTTTGTCATCACACCTACTTCTATGTTCCTTCCACCGCTTTCAACCACCTTTTTAGAACATTAATCAAAGATCAGGTCGTGACGAGATAAACCGATGTATATTTTTCATGGTTTGGACGAGAATCCTTCTTAACGTGATAAATGAGAATATTCCAAAACGATGCACATTATGATTCCATATTTTACACATTTACGTTTAAACTTTTGCACAATTGAAATGCACATTTTCCAATTTTTTGATATGCACATTTTTATTTTATATAATGCACGATACCTAAATCAAATACTCCTCCATAACCATTATCATTTCTCTCCTTAGATCTGTTCTCATATGATACACACACATTGAGAAAAGATCACCTCATGTAATCTTGACGGGAACCGCCGTCGAACTTGTATATTTAAACATATAAAATATGCTCACAAAATTCTATAGAAAAAATGCATGTGGAATACCGTAAACTTCCTCAATGTTGCAACATTCACATTTTTACGTTTTCCAACGCGCAACTTTGATCGTCATAATATTTATTTCTCTATTAGTAAAAAATTAAAAACTAGATTATGAAAATTTATAATGAGATAAATTCAACAATATTTTTCGAAAAATAAAAATTCTCATAAAATAATAAAGGGAAAATCGCATATATGATCCCTCAGTTATTCACGAAATTAAAATCTTAGACCTGTATTTCTGAGATTGTAAATGTCACATCTCAATTGTCCAAATTGTTGTAAGTGTGATCCTTTAAGTAGTCAAATGTACACTCGCCCACATTGTATATTTCACCCCTCAAAAGGACCACATTTACAGCATTTTGGACAATTGAGGGGTGACATTTATAATCTCAGAAATACAAGTCTGAGATTTTAATTTCGTGGATAACTGAGGGACCATATATGCGATTTTCCCAATAATAAATAAAATGCAGTCAAAGTAGAATATGTGAATTTTGTAAAAACTTTTTATGTTGCAACTAAAAAGAAACGAAGGATAGAAAGTAGTTTATGTTGTTGATATTGAATTGATAAAGTAAGAATAAAGTAAGAATGATTTAGAGCCACACAAACATAACCACATAAATGTATAATATCTAAGTATGCAGAACATTTAGGATATTTGTTAATAGATTGAAATTTTATGGTGTTGTTTAATTTAGTATGTGACACAATTCCGACCCTAGGGTGACCGGAAAAATGAGTAAGGAGAGGCTGAAAGTACTAAGTAAAAGTGAGTAAGAAATTGGGCAGAGTAATAACAAGTTTTCACAGATATTTTTGATCCCTTTAAACAAGTTGAAAGGTGATACTTATACTATGGAGAAAATACTTGGTCAACAAGTAAAAAGATGTTACTCTATTGTTGTAATGACACATGTATTACTTGGCTAATAAGAAATGTTACTCTATTGTTATAAAGTTGATTGGAGGGATATCTTGGACAGATGATTGATTGATACTGTGTGTTACAGAATTGTCCTTTGTGTTCCGGCGGAATGCATGTGCAGACCACACATGTGCTATCGGGAATATTCCGTATCGTAACAATTAAGGTGTCGTAAGCTCTGAACAGCTGTCGCGCGGGTGACGTGACCGAAGTTATGTGCGAAGTTTGATCGCTGAATTGTCCAAATCCATAAGTAACTGATGAGGTCTCGATCTTGAGAGGGAGAAACCTCGGTTGAGAGGGAGAAACCTCAGTTCGCTGCTTGGCTGGTGAAGGCGGTTTCTTTGCTCCATTGACTCCCGGGAAGCGCCACTTGACTCCTAGCCGGTCATGACGTAGGAATGGGCGCTGACCTCGACGAGGATCGACCTCGATCTCGAATGCAGTATTGGCCTTTGATAATCTGAAAGTTGAATGCTGGACCGACCTTGGGGGCCAAAGTTCGGCCTCAACGATATAAAGACTTGTTACTTCTGGAGATTTTATCTGTGAACGCTAATATCACTGGGTATATCATCAATTTGTATGAATCGATTTGGTCTAATCCAGTATATGTTTCTTATATGAAATTTTATAATTATCAAAATATGATATGATTTGATTCGGTATAACTTGTTTAGGTCTAATTTAATATGTTTATGTTTTATGTGCGACCAAGCATATTGACATGAACACTTAAGACATTGTGCACTTTTGAAATGTGTAATGTAAAGAGAACTTCATCTATACAATGATGCGCTTGTTGTCACCGTTAAAAGTTATTGTAATTACAATTGTGTCACCCCACTCGTTTTGAAAAGAGATTTGTATCCTTCAATTTGTTTTCAAAACAACGACCACCATTAGCTCTCATCTTTTAACCACGGACTTTGTTTTCTACCAAACTCTATTACGTAGTACGTAGTATATACGTGCAACGGGAATTGGGTTGATGGGGCATAAAGCACTAGATCAGGGTAATAAGTAATATTCCGCAAGTAATAACTGATAAGTCAACGTGACTTGTTATCCATTAAGAAACGACGACAGCCACTTCCCAAGTCCCAACAAGTCAACAACCATGGTGGAAAAGATAAGGATGACATCCATCCCTGAGGGTCCCTCAACACCGACCAGACGGTGACCAGACGGTAGGTTGAGAGGACGTAAAATTGGATTATAATCTTAATCTCATAGATAGAGATTAATATGTTTTGATGTAAGAAAGAAATTATTACAAAAAAGATTAAGATGTTTTGATCTCGATAAATGATTGGGAAACCAAAAGAAGTGTAAGAAATGTATTTCCTTGAGCTTATCTTTAACTTTTTTCCAAATTTTCTTCCCTTCCAATCTTCCTCCCTACTTTCCTTCATATTTTTTCTCTCTGGTATTTTCTTGTTTCCAAGCGGACCATAAAAGAATTATTAACACAGTTATAAAAGCTAATTCATCGCTCAAACCATACGAGCATCTGCCTCGTTTCAATTTAGGCCCACCAATAAGATTCCCCAACTACTTCATAGGCCCATAAACTTAACCTCAACTTAACGTATTTAGGGATGTCCCAAGTATGGATTCTGAAGATTTTTAATGGAGTTTAGAATTTCACCAGAATCTAGGTGTCCCCAATTTGTATATTTATAAAATCAATAAAAATAATGGTGTTCTCAAACATTCTGTAGATTTTATTATTAATTATTTTGATGGATTTTAATTGACTTTGATGTATTTCCACCACAAATCTTGTAGCCACCCCTTGGATTTCAAAATCCATAATCTTTTAAAATCCTTCTATTTTTTTTTTAAATCCTTCTAAGTCATAGATGACGACACCCTCTTAAGTTTAGGAAAAGAATTTTTTATGCAGAAAAACATTTTATAGTGTATAATTTGTCTAAAGTAAAAAGGCAAGACTAGAGTGCACCCATTTTCTTCATCCACTCTTTTTCTACATCAACTCAAAACCATAACACAAAAACCAAACAAAATAACAGTTTGATTGTGCTAAGAGATAACTATAAATGTAATCAGCAAGAGCACAAAAAAAAAACTAAATAATTTGCTATGAGGGAGCATGTTTCGAATCCATGCAGGCTGCAGCAATAGTCGCGAACCACTTTAATGCCTGGAACATCAAAGTGAGTGGTGGAAGACCATTTCCAATGCAAATGGACTCGTGTGTGCATGTGGTGGTGGGAGACAACTGGGAGTAGATAGCAATTGCAAGAGGATCATTAGTCAATCACATAGGTTTGGGTAGGGTGTGAGTGTGTGACTGTGAGGAAGACCTGAGCAGTTTTTAGCAGGGAAATATTTTGCCTCGAATCATCTTATGCCTGGAGGGAAACATTTTTCACATAAAATGTAACGGAAATATTTCTATGAATGCTTAGAAGTTAGAAGGGAAGTGTGGAAAAAGTTTAAAGTCAACTTTGTCAATCCATAAATACAATTTTTATGCTATTTTCATCGTGGGTCATCCGGAAACAACATCTATGTGTTTTAGTATAGGGGTAAGGCTGTGTACATCAGATCCCCTTACCTCACCATTACTGGAAGCCTGTGCGACACTGAGGTAACGTTGTTGTTGTACGGTGTCATTGGAAATATAAATTGAAGTACTAAAACTATTATAGAGACTAATTTCTAAAAATTTAAATGGATAAAGGTATAGAAACGAAAATGTAAAAGAAATATTATATCCAGATGCAATAAAAAAATGAAAGCAAAAGAAAAAAGAAATTATTCATTCCAACAATCCGCGTGGAGCTTCCATTTATTTGTTCGGAACTTCGGATATTGCTTTCAATTTCTTTTACATTGTCTCTATTTTTAGCTGAACTGAGGGGGAGAAAGCATTAATATGATAAGGGCCATAGGGAATAATTTTTAACTAAGCAAATAATGCTATGTTCACTTCAATTCTCCCTTTTTATTTTCCATCTTTAGTTTTTAATTTTTTTCTTTTACGACCACAAACATTTTTATCAACCATCAATAGTCAAATTCCAAAAATGAAGCATGAGAGTTATATAATATCAACCGTCTCCGCTGTGGGAGGCATTTAATGACTATTTGCATGTAAATCATATGAGAAATCCTATTTTCCACTTTAGAAATCATGGAAATAACAAACTTTAGAATAAAAGATAAATATATGAGAAAAGAATCTGATTTCCAACTTCAGTAAACCAGACAAGTAACATGTTCCATTTTCCATTCTTCATTCAATGCAAATAGGGGAAGTGCACTAGGTGTTGGCGTTAACTCATCCACTTCTATCAGATTCAACTATCAGAGACATGGAATGACTAAACATTAAACAAACCCTAACTATAAGCCTCAGTTATGTACCTCAATGAAATTATAGAACACAGTCACCGTCCTTATTCTAGTCCAGTGTTGGTTAAAAAAACGATGGTTCCTGAAGATTCTGTGTTGACTACAGAAAACTCAACTCAATCACTATAAAGAATAACTACTCTATTCCTCTTATAGATGATTTACTAGATGAATTGCATGGAGCTGCTATTTTCTCTCAGATTGATCGAAGAGCAGGGTATGACCAAGTGAGAATGAGGCCAGAAAATATTGTTGAGAAGACGGCTTTTACTACTGCTAATGGATTATATGAGTTTACTGTCATGTCATTCGGATTAACCAATGCACCTGCTACTTTTCAGGCTCTTATGAACAGTATATTCGGTGAATATTTGGGAAACGTTGTTTTAGTCTTCTTTGATGATATCTTGATATATAGCAGCAACCGGAGACTCACAAGACACATTTCAGACAAATATTTGAAATGCTACTTCAACACATTCTTTTTGTGAAAAAATCCAAGTGTGTTTTTGGAGTTCCACAAATAGAATACTGGGGACACATCATCAGTGCTGCTGGAGTTGCTGTTGATTCAGCAAAATCAAGTGTATCTTAGAATGACCCGTCCTTTCTTCTCTCAAAGCACTGAGAGGGTTTTTGGGCATGACTGGGTATCAGTGCTGCTGGAGTTGCTGTTGATCCAGACAAAATCAAGTGTATCTTATAAAGGCCAGTCCTTTCTTCTCTCAAAGCACTGAGGGGGCTTTTTTGGGTATGACTGGGGACTTTCGAAAGTTTTGTTACCAATATGGGAGCAAGGCCAAACCTTTAACTAATTTGACAAAGAAAGGGATGTTTAAATGGAACATGGTAGCACAAAAGGCATTTGAAGAGTTGAAAAAAGCTGTGTACTGTACCATAGTACAACTACCCAGCTTTAATAAAACCTTCATTGTGGAGACTGATGCATGTTATGGAGGTACAGGGGTTGTATTGCTGTAAGAAAATCATGCTTTGGCCTATATCAGCAAGGCACTTGTACACAAGAATATGGGATTGTCTTAACTATTGAAAAATGGAGAGCTTGCTTGCTGCATGCTCCTTTTGTAATTAGGACTGACCAGATCAGCCTTAAGTATTTAATGGATCAAAGAGTATCAACTCCTACCCATCATAAATACTTAACCAGGTTATTAGGTTATGATTACAGGATTGAGCATATTTTTGAAGAAACTATTTTACAAAAATTGGCTGCTCCCTGTAACATAATTACTTTTCTTACAATAATGGAATGTTCACGTATAAAAACAAATTATATGTTGGGACAACAGGAGATTTAAGGAGGAAAATGCTGGGTTATGACTATCTTTTGGTGGCTACATATGAAAAAAACAGTAAGAGCTTGCCCTATATGTCAGGTATGCAAACATGAAAACTCAAAGTATCCTGGATTGCTACAACTCTTGCCAGTACTATAACAAGAATGACAACGGGGGTGTTTGGTTAATAGCCCATAACTGTCTTCACTAATTCACCTTCTCAACAAAAAAACTGCATACTTTTGCTCTCCAGGTTTTCTCAATCTCTGTACTCCTTCTTGAATGATTTCTGTTTTCTATTTTATTTCTTTCAACCAATCAATGATGTACTACGCAGTTGTTTCTTTAATGACTTCGTATGGACAAGAATAATGAACAAGGCTCTGCCAAATTGATGTTTTGATGCTATGAAAGAATAATGAATGGATTTCAACTCATATATGCAAGTCTATGTCAATTCATCAAATGGGTTGTTGCTATTTTTTTTACTTTTTTTTCAACCCGTACTAAAATTAGGTTTTAGTTGCTATTTATTCCCAATGGCTCCTACTGATATTGAGTTTTGCTGCTATTTTAGTCCCACTGCTCATACTTTGCCTTCATTTTTAGATGCTCCATATTAGTTTCTTTATTTTATTTTATCAGATTTTATTTAATCAGATTTTTTATTTTATTTAATCAGATTTTTTATTTTTATTTTGCATAGCTAATTCTTTATTTTTATTTAATCAGATTTTTTATTTTTATTTTGCATAGCTAATTCTTTATTTTCTTTATTTTTATTACGTTTAGGCCTCACCATAGATGCTCTTAGCCTCTAATTTACAAGTAGATTGTGGCTTAGTAATTTAGGTGCCATGAATGTTATCCAACGTTCCATTTTTCTGAAATTTAGGTGCCTCTAATTTACTGTGATTTTTTTTAAGATGCATTAGCTGTTACAATGAAGTGATCACTAGTACTCCGTATTTTAATTATGATGACATTAATATTTAAAAACATTTTTCGTTAATTTTTGTTACAGAATATTTCTTAGTATATTTTTTACTTATAACGGTTATAAGTATTTTAGTTTATTAATACATTAAAAATTATGTATAAAAGATTTTTTATAATATTTTTTAGTTTTTGTAAATCATAAAAACAGTTATGGGCTAGTAATGCAAATACCATTGACAATATTTATAATACGTATATGAAAAGTAGTTAGTAAATAAAAAAATAATTGATGTCCTTAAAAGTCATTTAAAAAATTATCAGCTGATTGTAAGTAGCCATTTAACCAAACACCATTTTACAAACTGCTAATACTATCAACCGATCAAAACAACCAACAGAATTCGCTGTTATTAATCAGCCAACACAATCAGCCAACAACTATTTGCCAAATACCCCCAACATATTACTATGGACTTTATTGAGAAACTCCCTAAATCCAATGGATATGATGACATCCTGGTAGTGGTGGATAGATATACTAAATATGCTCATTTTGTATCTTTAGTCCACCCCTTCACTGCTTCCAAAATAGCATCATTCTTTATCAATAATATCTGCGAATTTCATGGTTTACCAGAATCTATAACTTATGAGAGAAACAAGGTTTTCACTAGCTTATTTTGGACTGAATTGTTCAAAACTATGGGCGTAAAACATCATTTGAGTACATCTTAGCACCCACAAACTGACGGGCAGACAGAGAAAGTAAACCAATGTTTGAAAAACTATCTCAGGTGTACGAGTGGACAGATTCCTAAGGAATAGAGTAACTGGCTTCCTCTAGCACAATGGTGGTACAATAGTTGTCATCATAGTTCTATTAGGACGAGTCCTTTTTGAGGCTCTCTTTGGGTATAAACCTCCAACCCTAAACCTTGGTCCTTATGTGAATTAACTGTAGTAGGAGTGGAACATGAGCTGGAGCAATGACAGCTTATTTCAGAGAAACTGAAATACCAACTCAACTTGTTTAACCAAAGAATGAAGGAAAGGGCAGATAAAGGAAGAATGGAGAGAGAATTTGCAGTAGGGGATTGGGTTTATTTAAAGCTCAAACCCTATAGTCAAATGAGTATGAGGAAATCCACTTTATGGAAGTTGAGCCCTAAGTATTGTGGACCCTTTGCAGTGATAGAAAGAGTGGTAGTTGTAGCTTATAAGTTGGCATTACCAAAAGGAAGTAAGAATGTAAGATGCATTCAGTGTTTCATGTTTCATCGCTAAAGCAATTGGTAAGATTGACTGACATTGTTTCCAGTACATTTCCTGCAATGACTGAAGAGGGGCATATGGTGCTAGTACCAGCTGAAATCCTGGCTAGAAGGATAGTTAAAAGAAATAATGCAACCATTGTGCAATGGTTGATCAAGTCAGAACATTTACAGCAAGATGAAGCTACTTGGGAAGAATATGATGTGATAATCACGCAATTTCCAGAAATAGAAGCTTTCCGGACAAGCTTTAGAAAAAGAAGGGGGCAATGTTACAACTAAGCCTTCGTTCTTTTATATTTTTGGTATAAATATTGTTAAAACTTGATGGTATGTTCATTGCAGCTTAAGCCTGTTACAGTCATGTCATTTACTAATAACGGTTGGGTGATTAGTCGTTAAGAGTAGTATAAAAGAAGCTGTAACTGATGCAAACGGACATAGCTTGAGTAATAACGCATTCTCCTTCTAAACATTTCTTCTTCTACGATTACTTTGTGTATTGTTGTGAATGTTTTCCTCTCTATTTCTCCATTCATAACACAGACTATCAGAGACATAGAATGACTAAACAAACCCCAACTCTAACCATTAGGAAAATTGTTATAAGCCTCAGCTACGTACCTCAATGGAATTGGCTTTTGTATTGTGGGAGAAATTCCATCCGGTAGTTCTATAAGAAGTAGCAAGCTAAGCCATACTTAACTAAGTACCAATGTCATTCTTTTGAAGGAGGGTTCAGTACCCATCATCTAGATTATCAAGAAATGTTCTTGATAGGCGAGATATTGCTATATTAAATCCAAATTCTATAGGTACGTTGTTATAAGCCTCAGCTACGTACCTCAATGAAATATGCTTTTTTCTTGTGGGAGAAAATACATCCGTAAATTCTATAAGTAGCAAGCTATGCCATTTAACTAAGTACCAATGTCATTCTTTTGAAGGAGGGTTCAGTACCACTCATCTTGGGAGTACCATATGAAACTCCAAATTCTATACGTAACCCATAAAGAAGATCCATAATCCCTGATCAAATCAAATAAATATGTGGCATAAAAAACGAGACTTACTTCGAGCAAAGCACGAATGGCTAGCTTCACAGTTTCCTGGCCAGATGTATCCTTATAGTTCTTCTCCAGAAACTCCCGAATTGAGTTGGAGTTCCTCCCTGTTGCATTGGCCTTCCATGATGAAAATGTTCCAGATGGATCTGTCTGGTAAAGAGACGGGACACCTGTGTATGGGTCAAAACCAACAATCAAGGTGGAAAGACCGAACGGTCTCACACCACCACTTTGGGTGTACTTTTGCTGAAGTCCAGCGATATAGCGAGTTATGTACTCAACAGTTACAGGGTCTTCCACAGTGAGCCTGTGGCTCTGGCACTCAATCCGTGCCCTATTTACTAGAACACGTGCATCTGCTTTGAGTCCAGCACAAGCCAATGCAATGTGATTGTCTAGACTCACAATCTTTCTTACAGATCTGAATACGTTAAATGCAAAAGGCATGATCAGAACCAGTTTTCAAACAGCAGACAACTACTTCAACATGAAAGAATACGCACAACAAAAAGGATATACAAGATAATAGGAGTTATAGATAGAGCATATTGTCATTTGTTAATACTTAACACAACTGTAACTCCTCTAAATTGAACTGAATTCAGTTAAAACTGAGGGCAACCAAAGCATTAAGCTAACTTCTCAAAACAACATGAGAAAGCAAACCCATGACTCCGTGTGTTCCAGTCTTTCAAACAAAAATGACATTTGCTTTCTTTATGCTAGTTATTCAACTAAGCGTGAGTGGAAATGGATACATTAAAATGTTCTGTAACACCAAGAAATTCTTCAACCTCATTTAACCCATGACTCCATGAGTTCCGGTCTTTCAAACAAAATATGACATTTTGCTTTCTTTATGCTAGTTATTCAACTAAATGTGAGTAGACATGGATATACATTACAATTTTCATTAGCACCACCAAATTCTTGAACATCATTTTAGTTCAGATGACTATATTATTTATGGAAAAAATACAAAACTTAATACCATACACCTAATTTTGGATGGGCATACTACTCTGCTAGTCGAACGTAGCAGTATCTTGTGTAGAGTAGAAAAAAATGCTCAAACCTAAACTGAAAACGCCAATGCAATCGAATAATACCAGCTAACGTCGACTGAAAGGACTACCTGGAATCTTGTAATTTGGGAGTGGATTTCTTCTCGACGCCGAGGACGACAGTATCAGTACCTCGGACCCCGACAGCAGCGTTACCCTTTCGTACGGCTTCCAAGGCGTACTCCACCTGGAAAAGATGGCCGTCGGGAGAGAAAACGGTGATTGCTCTATCGTATCTAGCCATAGCTGTTTGATCTCAGTTTCTTCCGATCTCTGGCTCTGCGATTTGCAGTCTCGCTTTTCTAGCTGTAGAGATCTTGGAGGACAAGGTAACGGGAAGAAAAGCAAACGGTTAACGGCGCCGTTTACTCTTCAGTCTTCGTGGCAATGTTCAAAGCCCAAAGTATTGTTTGGTAGTTGAAACTTGAAAGTTCAAACAAACAGTTCTTGTAATACAAGCCCAAATCATAATAAGTACTTGTATAGTTTGTAGAGTATTCATCATGTGCGTCCGGCCGCACCACAGGGGCCGTCCGGCCGACGGCATTTGGACGTCTTCTCGGAGGAATTTTTTGATGAAATTTTTATGACATGTTCTTCATCAAGTCTAATTTGTTGACAAAAACATTCAGCTAAAAATTCAATACGAAAGGTCTTCAAATGATTTTTTGAAGTTGACTGCGTTTTTTGTGTGTAATTTTGCACAGTTAACTTCAAAAAATTATTTGAAGACCTTCCGGATGGATTTTTTAGCTGAAATTTTTTGTGTATAAACTAGACTTGATGAAGAACATGCCATAAAAATTCCATCAAAAAATTTCACCGAGAAGGCGGCCAAACGCCGTCTAGAACAGCCCTCTAGTTTGTATATGCTCCGTAATAATGTTGAAAAACAACATACAAAAATCCGTTTACTTTTTTTGGCAAAAAGATAACTTAATTATTATTGAAACTCAGATCCAGATACAAATTTGCCATAACAAAGGTCACACTGGGATGAGACTTAGAGCTGGAATCACGCTTAATAGCGATCCATCTCGCTAACCCCATAATTTGGTAGACTCCGTTCACAGCAATGTTGCACCTGCTACTAAAATGAAAATCAAGAAACACAAAAGAGTCCTTAGACAAAAAGAAAGTATAAAAAGAACATAATCCAGTTTTTTCAGCCACTGGCAAGGAGACAGTGGTTTTACCAGCCCCGCCAAAGGTTTCTCCTGCATATCCTCAAAGCCCCCGATTACTGGCGGTACTCCCCAGACAGCACCGCCACTTGCAAATTTTTTGGATTTGCCTCATCGACATCCATGCTTGCTTGTACTCCATCCTCGCTAACCATCTCAATGACCCTGCGCTTTCTTGGTTCTTCCTGGGTAGTAGCTACTTCCTTTCCCTTTGATAGAAGCCCTTCCACCACATAGCTTTCCCGCTCACTTGTTGCTTCATCCGTGACTGCACCCTCGTCCCTTCTGTCCCCTGGCCTGATATTACTAGGAATCAACCACTTATTGCTTCCTTAAGTGATCGTTGGAGGTGGCTGAAGAAATTCCTATGGTGGCTGAAGTAAGTCCTTATCAGACCATTGAAATTTCTCAGACCATGTCTTCAACCTTGACTCGATTTGGTATATCCCTTACAGCTCCGTCCTTGACTTTTAATTAGTTTAAACGGTTATAAATTACTCCCTCCGGTCCTAAATAAACTTCACACTTTCCTTTTTAGGTAGATCCAAAATAAACTTCACACTTTTTCTCCCTTCCTTATTTGGCAAATTATCTACATCAAAACAGTGCAAAACAGTGCAAAACAGTGTCAAACAGTGTCAAACAGTGCCAAACAGTGTCAAACATTGTCGCAACAGTGTACTAGGTAAAATCAAATTTATTTCCTTAATTTGTGTGAAGTCAAAGTGTGAAGTTTATTTAAGACCGGAGGGAGTACTATTTTTCTCTTTTGATTTTGTGTGTGTATCCTCGGTTTCTGTCATTTTTTAGATTGGTTTGGTGGTGGTTTGTTTTTTTCTTTGAAAACTGGACGTTGATTTTCTTTTCTATAAAACTGGACGTTGGTTTTCTTTTCATTGTTGCCTGTCCATGCTTTTTGCTAGTTGTGGTGCGCAAAGTAACATAGTCAAAAAGAGTGACTCTATCGTACTACAATCTCTCTGATAATGAGATTCACAGCACAAGAAATATCACACATAAGATTCTTATAGACTCACTCTACACACTTACGAATTAATGTGAAATAATTTTGGTTCCAGGTTTTCGAGATTGTGTAATAGCCCTGTTATTATGTTTTTATTAAATAGTGATGCATTTATCTAGAATATTCTATGTAGAAAAGGCTAGAGATGATCTAGAGAGTTAAAGCTAGAAAGTATTCTAGAAAATTCTCTACTAGAGAATTCTTATGTAAAATCTAGAGTAATTAGACATAGATGTAGAATACTCTAGAATCATAGCATTTAATAAGGATCTAGAATGATCCTCTAGCTCCTATAAATAGGACTCATTGTACTCATTTGCAAACCAAGCAAAACCAAGAAACATCAATACAATACTACTTTTCTAGAGACAAGAGCTCTCCTCTAAAACACATCATCTACATTACACCTCACTAAAATCACTTATTCTACTCATACAACCAACAACCTCTTCTATTTTCTAACAAGTGGTATCAGAGCTTGTTCGATCATAAGCGGGCATTATGACGACATCAAGCTTCTCGGTATCAACTCCGATGTTCAATGGAGAAAGCTATGACTATTGGAGTGTCCGTATGAAGACTTGCCTAGAATCACATGATCTCTGGGATATTGTTGAAGAAGGAATCATCATGCCGGAAAAAGGAAGCGACGACGCATCAACTTCCGAGGTACGTAAGAAACAAAAACAGCAAAATGCTAGAGCTCTCTATCTTCTTCAACAATCCGTTTGTGATACTATTTTCCCGAGAATAATTCGTGCTACTACGGCAAAAGAAGCTTGGGATATTCTTAAGGAGGAATTTCAAGGAAATGAGAAAGTTAGAACTATTAAATTACAAAGTTTAAGAAGAGAGCTCGAAAATTTAAAGATGAGAGACTCTGAAATGGCAAAAGATTATTTCTCTCGGGTTATACATATAGTCAACGAAATGAGAACTCTTGGAGAAAACATAACTGACGAGAGAATAATCCAGAAGGTCCTAATCAGTCTCCCTGAAAAATATGATCCAGTAGTTTCGGCTATTGAGGAGTCAAAAGATCTATCAAAAATGTCCATCACTGAATTAATGGGGTCGCTAGAAGCACGTGAGCAAAGGCTAAACAGACGACACGAAAGTTCATTAGAAAGTGCCTTCCAGTCTAAGCTCAACATTAAAAGGAATCACTCGAGAAATGGTGAAAACTTTAAACCACATAAAGATGGGAATTCTAACAACAAGGAGAGGAAGACGAACTTTCCACCATGCAAAATATGCAAGAAGACTAATCACTTAGAGAAAGATTGCTACCATCGAGGAAAGCCACAATGCAGAAATTGCAAGAGGTTCGGGCATGAAGAAAAAGATTGCAGAGATAGAAGAAACTATCAGGCCAACTATTCTGAAGATTTTAAGGAGAAGGAGTACATGTTCTACGCATGTCACTCAGCCATAGAAGCAAAAGAAGAAGAGTGGTACATCGATAGTGGGTGCAGCAATCACATGACATCCAACGAGACCATCTTCCATGACTTAGATACCTCTATCAAGACAAAAGTCAAGATGGGCAATGGCGATTTGGTGGAGGCAAAGGGGAAAGGTACCATTGTCATAGATACAAAGAAAGGTACGCGCTTTATTAGAAACGTTCTCCTAGTGCCACGCCTTGCACAAAATCTACTAAGTGTTGGCCAAATGATGGAAAGTGGATATGCCTTGCACTTTGAGAAAAATTCTTGCCGAATTTATGACAAGAACAATAATCAAGAAATTGCTGAAGTAAAAATGGGAAATAATAGAAATTTTCCTATTCAATGGCAATATCCACAAAAGGCGATGGTGGCTCAACTGAGTGATACGAGTCTATGGCATCGAAGATTTGGGCACTTCAATCTCAATGCCTTGAGATTACTACACCAAAAGAAGATGATGAGAGACATGCCTCTACTGGATGAAAAAGAAGGAGTATGTGAAGGATGTATGGTTGGGAAGCAGCACAGGCAACCATTTCCAACAGAAAAGACATGGAGAGCCAAACAGATACTAGAGCTTGTCCACACCGATGTTTGCGGTCCAATGCGCACGCCTTCAGTTTCGAAGAACAGGTACTTCATACTCTTCATCGATGATTACTCTAGGATGACATGGGTGTATTTTTTCCAAGAAAAATCCGAAGTCTTTAGAATATTCAAGAGATTCAAGAACTTCGTGGAGAAACAGAGTGGTCATCAAATCAAGAAGTTGAGAAGCGATCGAGGTACCGAATACAACTCAAAAGAATTTGACAAGTTCTGTGAAGATGAAGGTATAGAGCATCAACTAACAGTAGCATACACTCCACAACAAAATGGGGTATCCGAAAGGAAGAACCGCACAGTCATGGAGATGGCAAGGTCTATGTTAGCTGAAAAAGGAATGCCTAAAACGTTCTGGGCAGAGGCAGTATATACTTCAGTCTATCTTCTAAACCGGTGTCCAACTAAGGCGGTTTTAAACAAAACACCTATTGAGGCATGGTCTGGACAAAAGCCTTCAGCCAAACATTTGAAGGTCTTCGGAAGCATATGCTACATTCATGTTCCCTCTGTTAAAAGGCACAAATTAGAAGACAAGACAGAGAAGGGCATCTTCCTTGGCTATAGCTCCAAATCCAAGGGATATCGAATCTACAATCTCGAGACAAAGAAGTTGGTGACAAGTCGAGATGTGGAGTTTGACGAGCAAGCCTCTTGGAATTGGGAGACAGAAAAAGTTGAAAGAAAGACAACTACTGTCCAACTAGAGGAAATACCAGAAGAGGAAAATCACGATCAACAAAGCCCCACGTCTACTCCAAGATCCTCTTTTGAAGCTAATACATCAAGAAATCACGGCTCCTCACCAGAGTCCCCACCTCTTCGAGTAAGAACTCTAGCAGACCTATATGAGTCTACTGACATCTATGAAACATGCAACTTTTGCTCCTTGGAGCCATATAGCTACACCGAAGCCTCCAAAGAAAAAGTTTGGATTAAAGCAATGGAGGAGGAGATCAAAATGATAGAAAAGAATGATACTTGGGAAATGGTAGATCTTCCACATAACAAGGAGGTTATTGGAGTCAAATGGGTGTATAAAACAAAATTGAACCCCGATGGCTCAATTCAGAAGCATAAGGCAAGGCTGGTTGCAAAGGGGTATGCTCAAATACCGGGA